GGTGAGGGATGTGGTTAGTGTTTTTTTCTTGATTCTTCCAAAGTCTCTGCATGAGTGGGTAGCACAGCTCCCTCTCCCTACCTGGAAACTTCCTTTCTCAAGAGCCTGAGTGTGGCAATGTATGCACTTGATGCACATCAGCGTCCTGTCTGCAGGACACGAACCTGGGTGAGCAGATTGGGACTGGATGTGATGCTTCTATGAGTCTGATCCAGGGTTTTTCTCCTGGGTAGGAAACAAATCCCAGGAGGTGCTGATATTTAGAGAAAGGGAGCGATGTGGATTGAAGCACGTTGCACTCTCCATGTGGGGCCAGCTTCCAGCAGAAGAGGTTTTCCCTGGACTAGTGTGACAGCGCATCTGAGCCCAGACAGGATGGAACTGACATGGACCAGCACAACCTTCAGGTAAGAAAGCCATCTCTCTGGATCTATGGCCTGGCCTGTATAACAAGCAAAGGGGAATTGTACTGTGCATTACAGATCTATTCTACATTATCCAGGGAAGCTCGCCTATGCATGTTGTGTCTGCAGCTGTGCCAGAAGCTTTAATGTGGCCCTGGGGCCTCCACAGACCTCATGGAGCTACTGTGGTCAAAGGAAGAGTGCCCCTTGCTTCCCCTGGACTGGCTGGCAGAGCTGTGCCTGTGTCATGCTGCAGGTGAAAAACACTCCAGCTTGCTCAGCTCTGAGCAGGTTTATTATTTAGAGCATAGCCTCAGAAAACAGGATGCCAGAACCAGATGCCTCCAGGAGCTGTTTTTTATTAATTTAATTAATTATTTATTATAGATCTACAGTAATTTTATTATGTATTTATTCTTTAATACATTTCCCTTTTTGTTTTATTAATGCATTTTATGTTTTTATGGGCTTAGTACAGGCAGTGGAGTTAGTCATGTCAATACCAGTTATTGAACTGTTGTCCTGCCAGATCTCAGAGGGCAAAGCTACAGCTGAACATCCACCCTGAAATCAGCACTTGCTGATTAGTCCTGAAGGCCTAAATCCAAATGGGACCCATCATGTGTTTAGGATTCTGTACCTGACATCTAAGTGTCACAGTCATTCCACTTTAAAGCTACAGATGCTCAGCTATTCACAACAATCAAGTTTCTGGTTTTCTGCCCAACAGCGCTGGCTGAAGTCTGAGAGATAGCTGGCCTCACCCCATAACTCTGCTCAGACCAGGTCTCTAGAATAGACTTCAGATAAATGTCAACAAACATCGCCATATTTGTTTACTTTATCTGCCAGTCCAGCAGATAGAGCAGTAACCTTTGGAGGGACAGAAATGAAGACTTGAGTTCCATCCTTACTCTGCCTGATTTGGTTCTGGGATTAAACCCGATTCCTCCACTTCCTGGAGGGGAGTATAGCCAGAGGCAACTGCAGAACCCCTGGCTGTAGCTCTGTGGCTGGTTTTGTCACCCTAGACAGGTGACAAACCTGAACTTCATGCTTCTGTTCTTGGCCCAGAGACTGCTACCTAAGCCCTTCTTCTTGGCCCCTCCTGCTAGCTACTTCAGCTGACTTCCAGCTTGCTCTGCTGCTACCTTAACAATCTCCCCATCTTATACAGTAAGCTCTGGCAACCTAATTCAAGACTACACCTGTCTGTGGGTGGGAAGACACCATTGCCATGCAACTGGGCTACTTGTGAGCCCAGCTTGCTGCAATTGCATCCTTGCACAGCAGCAGCATGTGGGAAGCTGGTTGTGAGGCACCACAATGCACAACTATTTAAACCTTTCATGAATGCTCAAAGAATCACAGAAGAGGAAGATTTCAAAAGCAGCTCTGGATCCTGGCGGTCACGAGCACCTCAGGAGATGCTTTCAAGAACAGGTCTGGTCTCAGCCAACGGAGGTCTATGGTACACACCTTGTGGGCAGTGCGGTATCGAGGAAGGGTACAGGGCTTTGAATTGCTCTTTGATATTTATAATCTTGTTGATTTTTAAAAGCAATTCTTCTGGTGTGTTTAATACCATGGGCACAAGGAGGACTCGAGAGGCCTAAGGCAAGAGAGAGGATTACTCTTTGCATACAGGCTCAGCAGAGCGATAACCTGATGTAACAGGATCAGACACCTGGTTTGCTTCTGCATAGAGGACTCAGAGGCAATCAGCCCCATTTACCCCTGCCTGCTCAGCCATGACTCCAGGCTGTGAAAAACATGAATTATGTACAGAAAAAGTTTTGAGACTAAACAAAAAATTCATTTCAGTTTCTTTTCCTTGTTTGCAACTACAACCTGTTGGGTACCACCAGGCCAATAGACTCAAGCACTTTTCTTTACACAGAAGGACCAGAAATGTTTTTCTTTTCTGAACAGAAACTGAGAGTCTTGTGCAAAGATAGTGATGAATGTGTTTTGAGCTATAATAATAAAATCCCAAGGAACATGGGGCTGAAAGAAGTACCAGACTGGAATGTAAGTGTTTGAGGGCAGTGGGGTGAAAGGGAAATGGTTTGGTCTTCTGCAGTCCAGCTGTTAGCCACAAGCCAGCAGTCTTGCACTTGGACTTTGCACCCCTGTTCAAGGTCTACACCTTCCAAATTATAGCACTGTGCCTTCTCTTCTTTCCTACTCTGCAACTGCTCCCAAGGGGCCTCTGAGGATGCCACAGAAGTCCTGTGCTGGAGAACACCTTCCAGCTGCAGCACTGAGCTGGTGTCATTCCCTACGTTGTGGATTTATCCCATCATGCACCTTGATGTGATCCCATCTGATGTCCTGGAGAAGAAGGTACTCTCAGGGCTGTTTCACACCAGGAGCTGCTGCCTCTGCCCATGAGGCAGCTCGGATTGCTGCCCCTCTGCCCTCGGGAGCCACTGTTTTAGGGCCACCTGGCAGCTGCAGCCAGAAGTTTTGCTCTTTCAGCAAAATTGGGGTGTGCATCATGATGCCTTTGCCCCCACACTGACTTACTGCCAGTGCACATATAGATCTTTCTATATATAAACAAGCAGGGTCAGAGCTCTATTTTTAGCCTATCTCAAAATACATCCCTTGCTGTGCATTTCTTGCCACCGATTTATAGTCTTGTCTCCCTGATGCCAAAAGTCCTGTGAGGTCAGTGAGATCTGTCAGCTCTGGGACCAAAGTGGAGCAACAGGGTAGAAACTGCTATAGGATGTCTCACAAAACCAGGCCCTGCCACGAGCACAAAATGGGGTGGGCACTTAGGCTAAAATATCCCTTTGACTTTCTGGGTGAGGAAATCTCCAGGACATTTTTACCATGCAGAGTCAAACACCCTATAAAATGAAAGGCCAGCAGCTCCAATGTTCCAGAGCCAGCTGAAGGCACAGGCAGGGAGTGTCAAGAAGAGCTGGACAGAGAGGGACACTTGTCACACCACAATAAGCCTCTCTTGCAGTACCGGGAACATACAGATTTTTTGTCTCTATGGCTGAACTTTGCTCCCTCCTATGGCTGGTAGGGTTGGGGAATACAGGGCAAGCACAGCTCATTTATTTTGTGCCAGTATGTGACGTGATTGTTGCTACAGTGTGATGGTTCCTGTTATGCTTCAAACATTTTCTGAGAGCCATCACGGTAACAATGAATAAAGTGCTGCTTCTGGGCTGTGGACCTGGGTGATTTTGAGTAATTAGCTTTCCATCTTCCTAAGGCCAGACTGCCTTTGGAGGTGTTTGCAGTGCAGTTGATGCGTCACTGCTGCTATTTAACCTGGCTACATGGGGACAGGAGGTGGCTGACCTAAAGCTGGGGAGGTAGGGAACATTTCCATAAAGGGAAACAGAGAAGCATAAAAGATAGGGCTTAGCTGCAGGTGGCAGGGGAAGGGGATGGAAGTGATATGTGAGAGGGTAGAGAGAGTGAACCCGGGGGATGGAGACTACTTGCAGTGACAGCTCTTTCCCGTGGCTGTATGCTCTGCCTCTGGCCCCTTTCCTCTGGCTCCCTGGGGTGCACACCCAGCCTGCTCTGGGATGGTGGAGCAGAGTGCCATGTGGGAGTCTCTCCTGCTTCCGCCACTTTCTCTGGCCCCTGGTGACAAGGACGTCCCTAGGGGACAGTTTGCTTTGAAGGGCTCTGTGTTGCAAAGGGCTCCCACGCTCCCTTGCTTTGCCATACCACTGCAAGTCACAGTGCAGCTGCTGAGCTGGGCCAGCTGTCTGCGCCTACGTGCTGCAGCCCAGGATGAGCTGATCGTCTTACTCTCTTTCATCACAGGCTGAGCTTAATTTCATTTGCCTGGCAATAGTCCTGGCTCGTCCAGCGCGTAGCTGGTTACTCATGGTAACTCGTGTCATCCTAACTCAACTCTGAGTCCCACCTCTGGCAATTTGACTGTAAATCTTGTGCTGTTTCAGGATTTTTTTCTTACTATCTTGGCTTCTGGAAGCCTCTAGTCTGACAAAAATCTGTTCTTTTGCTTTTATAACACTTTCCACATTTCCTGTCCGTGGAAAAAAAGAGCTTGAAAACGGGATTCCAGTATTCTGGGTGGGCTGGGAAAAGAGAGGGGAAATGCATCAACTACTAAAAAATAATCATGGTTTTCTAGCAGTTTCACATCATAGGGAGTCAAGGAGGTTTTGAAACAACCCTTTGTATTTACTCGTTTTATAAACCATGGCTCTTTGCAACTTTATACCAGTTAACTGAAAGGCAACAGAGAACTAATTGTATCTTGCTTTTCTAAATCTTTATATCGGGGTTAACATGGATTTCTAAGCAGGAAAACTGGAAGTATCCTACTAGATGAGTCAACAGATCTAGTAGAACTCCAGCACAAAAATCCACAAGCTGCAAATCTGTACCAAATGGAAGACTGTGCACAGAATCATTTCAGCAAATACCTGGAGGACGAAGGCAAAGATTATGAAGATGTGTGAAGTGGACAGCTAATTTCTTACAAGTTCCTTACAGTTATCCATGATGCTTTCAAGGGAAATTGTACATGAAATGATTCATTAAATACATAGGAATAATTTATTAATTCCTTATCTGTAATTAATGAAAAATATGTAAAGTAGAAGTCTTTCAATGCAAAACTATATTTACTTGGGGGCAGGAGGCTGTTACTATTAAGCAGTTGTAAACTTGCCACCTTGGGTTGAGTATCAGTATCAGCTATAACTGAATTTTGTGTTCATGGCTTGCTGATTATCAGAATATAAACTAGAAGAAGAAAAGACTGGTAATGTGGGCTTGCTACAATCTGCTGTAGCCCAGGAAGAATCTGGAGACTGCAGAAAGCTGGGAAAGACAGAAAAGCTGTTGAGTGGTAGCGTACCTTAAGAAAGACTTGCCATTAAGTGGGGTACCCCAATATTTGGAAGGGCATAATGAGAATTTTCTGCCTGCCCCCTGAATTCCTCCCACCACAGATCATGGAGCACTCCCTGCTCACAATGCATTAATTGCAAATTAACTTCAGACCCATAGAATGGAGGACAAAAGCTGCAACAACTTTGAGGTGCTGCATGAAAGGATGTGAGTGATTAAGAGCACCCTTGGTGTTCCAGGTCCTGGCTGGGGAACTTTTTATTATAAACCCCTGAGATTATTCTAAGAAACAGACTGTAACCCACCTCCCTGTGAAGCCCAAATATATTGCTCTGTGTTGTGATGCTGTGATGTCTGACAAGATACACTGACTCCCAGGAGGCTGGGAAGAAGTAAGAAGTAGTTTGCTGAGACTGTAACAGGCACCTGATCTGCTGGTTGTGGGGGACTCATGGTGGTGCGGAGGTGGGGATACAAACCAACCAGTTCATCAAATGAAGACAGGATCCCCATCTCTCTGTTTAGTCCTATCTGGGTTGTCCCATCTGAGAGGCATTAATTTGGAGAGCTGAGCTGTGATGGCTAACGTTGTCAACAAGAAATGCTCCTGCATTTAGGTTGGCTATAGGGCCAAGAGACTCTGCTCCCAGTTCAGTGCATGGCAAAGCTCCTACTACTGCTGTCAGCTGCTGTCTTACAGCAGTAGAATGAGCTTTTGGAAATCTTGACCTACCTCTGCCACTCAGCTTGTCTTCTAAGACCACAGGCCTCCCTTTTTTTTCACTGTGCACCTGTCTCCTCACAACCTCAGATCACCTCTTCCTTCCATTTTGAGCATTTAATTGAATATGGCTATTTAGTGATTAAAAATCACAGTGGGAAACTGGAACTGTCCCTCTGTTAACTCTTAATATTCTGGCATTTATCTCACTTCCAGCTAGTCATGAAGGGAAAGACTAAGAACAGGATCAGGCAGGCAAAAAAGATGGCCAGTGCCTAGCTCCTGATGTATGGTCATTTTGTGCTGAATGGAGAATCCATGCTGTCTGATAATTGTGCTGGCCAAAGCCCAAATTTTTTGGTTCCCTATCATGGGGAAGAGAATGGATGAAGAACCAGAGGAACCTAGGGTTTGAATTTTGGCTGGGTCCCGTTTGCTGCTCCCATCAACAGTGCCCCAAGTGCTAATTATAATTTCCTTATTCTGCTTTGGTCAGGGCATATGACAAAGTGGGGTGAAAGCCAAAAATAAGCAGCCCTCAGAATAGCCCTCTCCACATCTCCCTGCTAATGTCATCTCTGAAGAAGACTGCTTGTTCCCCTTCAGATGAGCTTTCAGAGGTTATTTTAATCCATTTTTAGTGGCAAACAGCATTTATCAGAATAAGTGTGGGCTGGTCTCCAGCTCCTTCAGATCTCTGACAGCCTGGAGGGGAAAGTCTCTGAAAAATAACTGAGTGTGCTTCTACTGCATGTTGCCCTGCCCAGGGGATTTTGGGGACATAATAAGGAAACATTCATCTGATGGACCAGAGCCCAGGAACCAGTGCTTTGCTAAAACCAGCAATTCCCCTGTCATCAGCTCCTGTTCCCAGGATTCAGAGCTCTTGTTCTTGTCATCAGTGTGGATGTTTTCAGATTCAATTTAGCAATCATTAGGAGGCAAGAAGCAAGGTTGGAAAAAAGGTTAGAGAGGCACTCATTTCTGAGTCACTGCTTAGAACATGACCCCCGCTAACTGTGTTCAAAAATTGTCACTGACAGTCATCTCATGGCCACTCGGTGGTCTCCGATGTGTTTATGATCTTTGCCAAGTTCATAAACTCTTCAAAGTTATATTTTTGAAAATGCCATATTGAACACAAATTGGCATTCCCAGGGAAGCAAACCTGGAACAGGCTGTGAAGATTAAATTCTCCCTTTCCCTGGAGGAATTTTAGTACTAGGCAGTACCTCAGGATCTTGCCCTAATGCTCTATCTCCTGGAGGAATTTTAGTACTAGGCAGTACCTCAGGATCTTGCCCTAATGCTCTATCTCAGTGGTCTGTCTTGATCTCTGGGACTGTCATTTTTCACCAGTTCTAAACCAATTTTAACATATCTTAGGAATAATATATGTGGTGGGTTACTGCCTGACTTCCCTGGGCAAGGGGTTGACAGGCAAGGGAGAAAGAGCCAACAGAAGGGTAGAGGATAACATGAGAGATGTTGTGGTTTGACAGAGGTTGCCACAGGAGAAATTTAGGAAAATATTGCTACATTTGTTCTCATTTGTCAGAGTGACTTTGAAGACCACTTGATCTGGTTTTAATCCATTGATATCTCTTGTATTCAAAACCAGGCATCTGAAATGCAGATCAGAAGAGGTTCACGACCAGTACTGTGAAGAAAGTCTGTTGAGTATGTGATACCTGATGCAATTTTGGATCCACGATCCTGGCTCTACATCAGCATTACAATGACAAATTTTTTGCTATGCAATGGAAACTTGTTGCATTTCATCAAGAATAGGATGGCACACATCCATTTCTCTCTCTCTCTTGACCTGAAACCCAATTATATGTTTTATCATGTTCTTAATATGTCATGTGTTTTGACAGTCACAATAAACATCTCAGGATAATACAGGAATTTTCACAATGCTGCTAAGTTCTTGCTTCTTTATTATTTAAAAGGGTAAAGACTGGTAGTGACAGAGCCCATCCAACATGTCTACATGTAGATGCAAACAAGCCTTCAAGGAATATCAGCCAATCTTTTTCTTCCTATTCGATTTCACTGGCTTTGTGAGAGGAGAGGAGACTTGGCTGGAGGCGAACAGGTAGAACACATTTCTAATTATCTCAAGTCTGAAGTCTGACTAGACCATCTTTGTGGCTATTTTTGACCTCCATCAATGCATTGTCAGGGTCTTGTGACGTGTATTTGTTGCCTGACAAATGCTAATAAACCTGACTTACCTATTGTGTGTCGTCCTTTCAACACCAGTAGGGCAATTACACTTTTACAATGAAATACAGCCCCTTTAACTGGATTGTGTAAGGTTTCCAGCAAAAAACAAATGGCAGCCCCTTACCTACCAGCTCCTGTCAATTCTGTTTCACTTTGTTTCACATACATCTTTGGCTATTGAGTGTGGCAGTCTTTAAACTTTGCAGTGGGAAGAGTATAGGATGACTCAGTCTGTTGCAGCAAGCTGGAAAGTTTCTGGTCACTGCCTCCAGACTAATTAATTTATCATGAAAGTGGAGGAGTTTTGGTTTGCTGACTATTGCCATGCTTGTTTTCCCTTCCTGGGCTTCCCCTGTTATTCCTAGGTGGATCTTTAATGGAAAAATTGGGTCTGCCTTCTGTAAGTGCACCTGTCTCTGTGATGATGCTGCAGTTCCAGGTGGGAAACCCCAGCAGTGTTTCCCCTTGTGTGACTCCAGTCCCCCTGCCCCATCACAGCACACCCAGGGCATGGCAGGGACCAGGCTGCTGAGAGCATGCAGGGTAGCAGGGATGGCACCTGCAGTCCCATGGAGAAGGCAGCTGCTCTTGGCTCACTGCACCACTCTCTTGGCTGCTTCCTGCCTTGGTGCCTTAGTTGTTATGCCAGCTAGAGCCTTGAGGCTGCTGCTGCTGATTTACTAGTTCAGTAAATACCCCTGCTGCGAGTGCAGATAAAAGCATCCCCATCTCAGGTAGGGCTGGTGCCAGGAGTGCCAGAGAGCAGTCCAAATGGTTTCAGGGAAAGCTGGAAAGGACATTTTATGATCCTAGCAACAGGTTTGAGTCACAAATGCCCTTCCACTCATGCACTTCTGCATGAGCAGCCTGAAGTGCCAACTGCCTTGTCACAGCTATTCCTACTCACTACAGAGATGGATTTACTCTTATGCAGTTCTGCCATGGAAGTCAGTTTTGATATGTGTGTTAGGTAGTAAAGCTTGGGCATCTTCATGACTACTGAAAGTGCTGCAATGCTTTCGACTGGAGAATAAACGCATCTTTGTCACCTTGGCTCAGCTGTATTCTCTTCCCTGTATTCTCAGAGATAGGTGCTGCTCCTCACCAAGTGACGGGAGCATTTAAGATACTGAATTTCTGTAGAGGGTTTTGGTAGTTTTAATCTAGGCCTTCCTCGGTGACCAGTTTGTAACCAAGGAAGGGGCAGTGTTCCCAGTATTCCATACAATTTTTACGTAAATCGGGGTATAGAGAGAGAGGGAAAGGAGAGAGTTCTTTGCTCTCTTCTCTTCTGGCGAGGTTCAGGAACGGTGGGTCCTTGCGTTGGTCTTGCTTATCTAAGGCTGAGGCCTGCAGTGTCCACTGACCTGCCACGTGGAGGTTTGGAGAGTGCTGGCCGTGTCTACCAATCCTGCTTTTCTAAGGGATGTGATGAGATTTGTTTTACTAGTTATTTTGCTGGTTCTCGGGTTTGATTGCGTATATCTGTTTGATGTCCCTTTTTGTCCCCTTTTGTCCTTTTTTTCACCTTTCCCTATCCCTTCGGGGAGTGTTTGGATTCCCTTTTGCTGTGTACATAGCATCTTAACTGTATATAACTGTAATATACATAAAATATATATTTTTATATAACTAGCTTGATTTTGGGTTCTTTAATTTTTTTATAGTTTTTTTCCTTTGCCCTGGGGGAAGAAGGGAGGGGGAAGGGGGGGGCTGCTACTGTGAGTTTTGGGCATTTGGCAGGGAGCCAGGTCCGAACCATCACAAGAGTCTAACATTTGGAGTTAAGTTTGCATCTCTGAACATCTAAAAGTGGTAGTGGATGACATAAAACTGAGTACTTGTGGGTAAACTCCTTATAGGCAAAATGAGAAGGGATGAGCTTTGCCAGAGTTGGCCCTTGACTACACCATCTGCAGAAGGTCATGGCCTCTGTTTTGTGTTGAGGAAATGCTGAGAGCAGACTGTGAGAAGGAAGGAGGGAGTAAGCAGGGGCTTAAGGAATAAAAGGAGAGAAAACCAGAAATGACACTTGAAGGCAGAAGACTGGCGGAGAACGTCAACTCCTTAAATTTGCAGGGTTGCAGAAACAAATGGGAGGTCTTGTGCACTTAATGTTTAGTTTTGTCTTTGGATACTTTTATAAATACAGGGGGAGAAGTTATCTTATAAGGTTTGCACTGCAGTCTGGCAAGCAAAGTTTCCTTCTCGTCATTTCCCTCAATTCCCTTGGTAGAAGTCAATTCCCAAGGCAGAGGCAGTACACAGTGTGCGCATGTACTGGGGGTGCAGTACAGAAATGAGTAAGCAAAGGGTTGCCTCTTGCCCTGAGTTCAGAGAGCTTGGACATGCTGTCCTGACAGTAGGCACACACCAGAGGTGGGGGGCAAAGCTCTGTTCCTGGCAGGCCAGTCGCCTTTAGCATCTGCGTTCCCACCCAATCCTCCACCCCGCTCTCATACAGGGCACTTTGACATAACACTATTTTGGATGGGCTTCCAGAGACCTTTTAAGTTTCCTTTATAGCTGCAATTTCCTGGTAAAACTTGGCTGAATTATGCAGGCTTTTTGCAGCAAAATGGGTTCAAGACCCTCTATTTTTAGTCCAGCTCTAAACAAGTGCAAGAATTACCGCCTGCTAGTCTTGTGTTCCTCTGTGGCTCTCTCCCTCACCAGGGCTGTCAGCTTTCTGTGCTAGGTAGCTGTTTGGTAGCAGGAACAGTCAGAGAAATGGGACTACTTAGTCTCAAAGAAACCATAACCTGCTTTTCCAGGACCATAAAAAGCCAATCAATGCTCTTGATTTGTCGCAACAAGCTGATGTGACATTAACTAGGAAGTCCAGGCTGCTCTCAGAGCAGGATATCTGAAAAGCATGAAGGCTTTTAGAAGATTGTTGATCAGGATAGAGCATGAGACAAATGTAACGACATAACATAGGAATATTGAGAGTTTATGTGTGTGTACTGTTTATGTTTACGATATGTTACAGATATTTAAACGCAAGTTCCTTGTTGGGAAGAGCTATACTTGAGAAACCATTTGCAATCATAACAAGGACTCGGGTTGACCTGAGGTAATGTTAACTGTGGCAGAGCTCCTTACTCAATATCCGTTTATATAAAGCATGTTCGTGCTCTCCTTCTTTTTTATATACAAATTCACGTGGAGTCCATCCCAGGAAGCTTATGATCTAGGCTTAGCACTAAAGGATGCTGACTGTGGCATGAGTGGGAATGTCTGGAAAACACACAGGAGCCTGCCCTCATAAGAGACAGTGATTGCCACAAACCCATTGTGCTAAATCCCTGCTTGTATTTTCTCTCCTCGTTTGACCCCAGCTCCAGCAGGTATCAAAAAACCTTGCAGCACCCCTAGATCCAATTGCCCTAGGAAGAGCCCTGTGAAGCAGGAATGGTGGACTAAACTTCAGAAAGGACAAGGCTGCCTCTGCAGCATGCACATGTGTTCTGTCCCAACCTGAATCCACCTATTGCCTCCTCCTCAAGGCTCTGCTGCAACTAATCAGCCAACACAGCTTCCTTATATACACCATCTCGGAGAGAGGATTTTGAAGACTCTGCAAAAGCCATGAAAGCAACTCCAGCCTCCTCATCCCCTTCTTGGGACAGGGGTCATCCTTGATATGCAGGAAATGTGCAGCCATCTTGCAAAGCCAATTCTCTACCTGCTTGATTTCCCTCTGCTGGCTTCTCAGACTTCCCCAGACTGCTGCTGCTCTATCAGGCAGACCCCCATGGCTGAGGATGGTGGCACAAGAAGTGGTAAGTCCCAGACAGGGAGATGCTTGGCTTTGGATGGCGGGACTGTGTCCCAGGGCCCCTCTGTGTTACTTGATGTAACTTGAACTCTTAAGGTCCGAACAGTTTTGCAGGTGAAGTGGAGAGGCTCTCAGAGCAAGTCCAGCAGTGCCTGTGCAGAGCTGGTCTCAAGGGGCTTTTTCACACAGAGTAAGGTGAGCATGGAGGTTGGTTGCACATGGAGGGAGGTGACATGCTTCCTGAGAGGCTGTGACCCTCAGCTGTTCTCCCTTATGTATAAGTTGTGAAAAACTATAGGGACTTAAGAAGGTAAAACCTGTAACTGGCAGATGAGCTTTACTCAAAACTTTTTATCCCCAGAAGGACACGGAGAGCTCAGCACAGGTCCCATCCTGCCTCCTGAGAGCACCTATGAAAGTCTTGTCTCCCATGACTGTCCCAGAACAGCTCTCTTCTTGTGCCTCCCTCCACCCTTGCCCAGCCCATGAACAGCTCTGAGGGTGTGAAAGGAAGGGACAGCCTTTATTCCAGCTCCCACAGACTAGCCATGCCTTGTGGCTCCCCAGACGGATTCACCTAGGGCTGGAAAAGCAACAGGCATTGACAAGGTGCAGCTCCCCTGCCTCAGGCAAGCTTTGCACTACACAGTCTCATGGGTTGGAAGTCCCAGGGGAGAGTTCTGTGTGGATAATTGTCTCTCTGCTTCCTGCAGAGCAGCACTGAGGCATATGTAGCTGCTTTTCTGCTTGAAATCTATTCATCTGCAGACTGAAATGAGAACCAGCTGGTGATTGTTTTGAATTTATTTAAAAAAAAAAATCTTCTGTAAAGCATTATTCTGTTTTGAGTTCCTGTTTCCTTTCCCATCTGCCCAAGGAGCTGTGTTTGTAAGTCTCCTCCTGTCCA